GAAGGCTCAGGGGAGGGGGGAAAAAACCCTTCTGTGTAATTTCAAAGTTCATGACTGGTGTGTGTTTGGAGAACAAAAGACCAAGTGCTGGATGTAGAGCAGCTTTTCGAGAAGAGTGGGGGAGGTGGCTCATGCCAAGCACGGGGCCTTGGTACAGCGCAAAACACGAGATTTGTCATTCCCCCCTTAGGGTGGAAAGCATTTGAAGACAGCTCTGTCTGTGCTGTCTGCTTTTCCTAACAGAGCCTATGGGAACAAACACACCAGGAAGGGCAGGGAGGGGGGAGGATTCCAGCAGAGAGGATGCTTGGAAGGTTTTTGCCTGATATGCACGTCTCCAATCCATGTTCCCCAGGATTTCACATAACCCTGGCTCCAAGCTGCTTGCAAGACTGCTCCATATTCCAGCTGATGGGCACTGGTAGGGGATGCTTCTTGAGATGAGTGCTCACAGCTACAGCACTCTGGCACAAATGCATGGCCGACATGGATGAAGGATGGTAAAGAAAGAACAGATCTATCAAACCCTAGAAATTTATGTTCTCGCTGCTTGCCACCTGCTCTATGACACGCAGCTTTCTTGCCTTTTCAGGGAAGCACTTGGCCTTGTGCCATGGATGGCCCGTGCCAGTCTGCCCCTGCACTGCTGACAAAGGGCCACATCACCCAGCAATTCTCAGGGCACTGAGAGACTGGGCTGCCAGGGGGAGGGAGGAGATTTGTCCTTTTCTCTACCTGCTCCCCTAAAGAGTCGGGAGAAAGGAAAACTGTATTTTAATATGAATGAGGGCCTAATTTTTGTTATTCTTTCTTTCTTGATTCCCTTCCTTCTACAGTCTGTCATCTTGGGTCCAGACTGCAGGCTATGACCATGCTACAGGGGACAGGCTGTCCAGAGCCAAGTGCTGGGCAAGCACTGAGGTCTGAGGGGCAGGAGCGTTTTCATACGCCTCACCCGGGGAGTGTTCACTTTAAAATAAAATAAAAAATAAAAGAAACGAAACGAAACGAAAGTAAACTAAACTAAACTAAACGAAATGAAACTAAACTAAGATAAAATAATTTTTAAAAAATGAAATAAAAATACATTAAATAAAATAAATTAAAATAAAATTTTAATAATTAAAAATAAAAAATAAAATAAAATAACATTTCAAAAATTTGTAAAAATAAAATAAAAATAAAATTAATAAAATAAAATAAAGTAAAATAAAATAATAAAAATATAATAAAATTAATTAAATAAAATAATTAAAATTAAATTAAATAAAATTAAAATATAATGCAATTTTAAAAAATAAATTAAATTAAATTAAATTAGAAATAAATAAAAAAGAAAATAATTTTTTAAAATTAAAAATAAAAGAAATACAATTAAATTAGATTTTAAAATAAAATAAAAATAATAAAAATAATAAAAATAATAAAAATAATAAAAATAATAAAAATAATAAAAATAAATAAATAAAATAATAAAATTTCACAGAAATAAAATAATGAACTTAAAGGTGCCTGCTTGGGACGAAAGCTCAGACAAGCTCAAGAGAACACAAGGCAAGGATTTCCAGTTGCCTTCCCCAAGCACACACATCGCTGTCAGGGGACGGTGGCTCCCAGGAAAAGCTCCGAGGGGCAGTGGGGCTCTGGCCGTGGCTCCCCGTTCAGCAATAGCGAGCCAGCGCCCGGCTGCCCCGCTGAGCATCCCCCGCACGGGCAGAGTGGCACAGCGACACGCAGTGGCACTTCACAGCCTCTACCAAAACACAGGCGACCCACATCGCACCCAGCTGCAGGAGGCGGGAGAGCTCCTAATCTATGTAAAATTCGAGACAATCTCTACCGCTACAGCATCATCCTGTTGATCAAAATGAGTTTAGAGAGGCTCTGAGGTAGGAAAAGCCCGGCATTTCTGACCCAGTGGTGTGAGCTCCAGAGCTGGATTTATAGCATTAGCCAGCTGGTGCTTCCCCAGCCTCCATCTATGTAAACTGGAGGTTTTGCATCACTTCAGGGCAAGCTTGAGCTCCAGCCCTCTGCAGGTAAGGACCCTACTGAGAATAAGGGGAGATCCTTGTAGGGGGAACTTCCTGGTTGAAACACCTTCCAGCCACTGTCCCATCTCACTGTGCTTAGACAAAGAGGCCAAGACTGCTTTTGGAGCTGAGCTTCTGTCTCTGCTGCTGAAGCACTACAGAAAGGGTTTGTTGGAGCATGCTAAGCCCAGTGCGTGTCTGCATTCGGCCCCACACACTTAACAGGAAAGATGTGTGCTGATGTCCTTACAAACAATCCCATGGGTGAGAGTATGGGTGTCGAGAATTAGCCAACTTATCACTCACCTAAATAATGCTCCTCAGTACATAATGAGTGCATAATGAGCTGAGAACTGAAAAATAAGGAGGTAGCCACAGAATGAAGGGAGAGGGGGACACAATCCAGGGTCAAAACCCAAGTCGTTCCTGCTATTTGGCCCTGTTGGGAAAAACAGGATTAGACTAGATCTGACCTGTGTTGCAGTTTCAGCTGAAAACAGTTCCGAAAGAAACACAAGTGGATACTTGCATCTGCTCTGTGAGTCATTCCCAACACTTTTTAAAAGCATATAATCTCTAGAGATTTTTAAATTTTTAAAATTTTAAAAATTTTCCCAACATTTTTTAAAAGCACATCAGCTCTAGAGATTCATGGGCAGGATATTCAGTCTGAAGGCTGATGGTGCCACAGGCAGATGTTCCAAACCTGATCACCCCATGAGCTTCCCAAATGTCCACATCATGTTTCCCATACATCCTCTGTGTCTGTATGACTTCTGGATTTACCTTTGCAATATGTTTTCATGTGTATCATTTATTTGGGGGAAAATAAATGAATTTCTTTTCCTTAATAAATTCTCACTTTTGATGGTATGGTTTTATACATTTGCACAAGTCTTATTTCTCTCACAATTGCATTTAAAAATATATGTTTGGTAAGCTGATTAGAGGCATTGTTAGGGTGAGGGAGCAATTAATTCTCACTGGAAGGGGATATGTGGAAAAGCGATTTGGTGGTCAAAGCATAAAACAAAGGGAATGGAGGACAAATTGGATGAGAAAATGAAAATATGACAAAGACTTAAAAAAAAAGGGAGGAGGGGGAGAATTAAATCAGCTGCATGCTCACTACAAAGCAGGTCTGACCCTGGCACAGAAGCGGATATATACAAAAAAAACCTGATCTATGTATGAAAATTGCCGACTGCGAGCCGTCCTGCTGCCTTTCCAAGCACGCACACGCGGCTCTCCGAGGGAGGGAGGACTCGCTGGCAGAGGCGGTGTTACTCCGTCTGTAAAACTCGAATTCCCCTGGTTCCCCCTGCCAGCCGTGTGTGCTCGCACGGCTCGGGGCTCCCCGGGGCCGCCGAACGCCAGGGCTGG